CAATACAAACATACCCAATTACAGTATTGCGCGAGTCGGGTGGGATTGAGAAACGTGACCTTTAGGTGGTATTAGCTTGAAAAAAAATAGTTTGAGGAAAATAGTTAAACAAACAGATCTCATCATTATAAACTACAAAGCCATAATCGGTATATTGTCAATGCTCAGTAAAATTCTAAGGTATGTTCAAACGCTGGTAAATAGTTCAACAGTAGACTTTCGTTTCGGTTTCGCTTTCATGCTCCTCCTTCTTCGTGATATAGCGTTACACAGCATTCAATGCGACCCCCCCCCCCCCCCCCCCCCCCCCCCCTTTACTTTTTAAATAACTGAATCACAATATATACAATATATTTGATAAGTATTAGTTTAAACGTTATGGAGACTAATCAGTTAACTTTTGCTATGTTGAAACCCAGTCACCTCAGTGGTGATATTTTTTCCCGATCCCAACATGAAGGCGAAAGAAACTATTTTGTTTTTTATGTACAGTAAACTACGGTTATAACGAACACGCTTATAACGAACTGACGGATATAACGAACTTACTTCTTGGTCCCGACTATTTGCTGTAGTTATACTGTGTATATACTTATAACGAACTACGGTTATAACGAACTAAAATAAGTAGTCCGTTTGAGTTCGTTATAACCGTACTTTACTGTAATTGAAAATTGAAAGTACTGTTGTTAAATTTGAGAATGTCTATTAACCATCACTCATTTCTGCAACAGTTTGTAAAAAATATTGTGCGGCTGTTTAATTATGTGTAAAATAGATTTGTTCTGTGAAGACTGGGGTAAAAAATGAATTTGCAACCACATGAGATGTTTGAAATGTTGCAGCTTTGTGCCGGAGAAAAACCAAAACTTTATTGATTTTCAAAGATAAGATGTCTAAAATATCCATTAGCAGTTGTGTGAGTGAGTGAGTTGGGTTTAACGCCGCTTTTAACAGTATTCCAGTTAAATCGCGGCGTGTCAGCTTAATGTTGGAGGAAAACCCGAAGTGATGCAGGCCTCAGACGTTTACCACTTCGGTGAAACCCACGAGCACGGATATGGTGCTGACAAACCTAGAAACCGGGATTCGAACCCACAATCATAGGTTTCTGGTTTGTCCAAGGGACGCAACTCTGCACAGCGAATCACGGCGCCTTAGACGACTGGGCCACCCGTTGAGTGTTTCAGCGTAGATGGGCAATATTTTAATGTTTCCATTAGCTTTTGTGCGCGCTAGGGTCAACGATTATAAAGTAATTATTATAATGTTTTTTGCATTATTTTTATGACCAGGGTAGGTTTAAGTCATTTTCTAATAATAGCCACGACATTCACTTGGCGGAAGTATTACTCTACACGACACACATTCAAATCATCTGATCAAAGGTCGCTGTTCAAACCCTCTTTGCACATGAGTAACGGTACACTGAGCAACCAGTTGTATAACGACAAACGCAACGGCGACGAAGCTCACATATATTTTGACCCAATTCTAAACACAAATGAACATTTTCTATGGTCTTTCGTCAGACATATCCGTAATTTATTCAGTCTCGTCAATATGAGATCTTAGAGCTCGCTACACCTCAATACACTTTGTTTAGCAGTGTAGTGAGAATTACGATCTGATTTTAATTTAAATATTTGACGTTAGACTCGTAAATAAATTATATAACTCTAATATGTAAATAATAATATCGGAACCTACCGGGCCTTCCTAACATAACAAACTGGCAAGCCTTGACATAACCGATTTACTGTTAAACGCGGAAGTAAAAACCAGATATAGTTGTCATACAATCTTGTGTCCCCATATTCCAAAGAGTTTTGACATTTTCTTAAAGGATTTTTATATCAATATGCCGCAGGAGGAAAAAAAACAGGATAGCACAGAGCACAGGTCACAGGTCACAAGTCACAGGTCACAAGTCACAGGTCACAAATCGAGTTAAGCAACGTCGGTCTCAGAAAGTGGTTGCTGGGTTACCGCGTGAGGCAGCGTGACACGTGAGAGTTTCTTTTGGGCTTCTGTCCTGCACCACAGGGGAGGAAATGTGGTGTCTCCTTAGGCCAGTGACTATGTTTGAAATGTGCCTCTGTTCACCCAGCAGTGAGTGGGTACCCGGTAGGATGAGATGGAAATGTGACTGTTAACCTTCTAGCGCTTGACAAGGCAGCTTGGGTTGTATACTCCCAAGGGAGCTGATAATGAAAATCGAGTGCTATTATGATTATGATATTATTATTATTATTATTTAAAAAATAAATTATTATTATTATGATTATGATTATTATGATTATTATTATTACCAGTACGATCCTAGCGCTACGACGACCGTAAATATATACACTGAAGGTGGGGTAGCCAAGTGGTTAAGCGTTCGTCCGTCACGCCGAAGGCCCGGGTTTTATTCCCACAGGAGGAAATGCCCGAAGCCCATTTCTGATGTCCATCGCCAAGATATTGCTGGTATATTGCTAAAGACGGCGTAAAGCCATATTCACTTTATTCTGTACATGCATGTGCGTTCAACAAAACCTGTGCAATAATCGCTACATGAAACGAGTCCCAAGAGTGATTGACTAAGATTTGGTTTGTTTGTTGTTTAACGCCGCACTCAGCACTATTCCATCTATATGACGGTGGTCTGTAATCGAGCCTGGACCAGACAATCCAGTGATTAATATCATGAGCATCGATTCACGCAATTGGGACCGATGACATGTATAAACCAAGTCAGCGAGCCTGACCACCCGATCCCGTTAGTCGCCTTTTACGACAAGCATAGTCGCCTTTTACGGTAAGCATGGGTTGTTGACCTATTCTACCCCGGATCTTCACGGGTCGATTGACTAAGAGTACTGTTAAAAGACATGTATATTCCATGGAAGAAGTACCTACTTCATTTCTCTCAAGGTTAGAAATCGTATTTAGACGAAACCACTTTAAGGATTTGAATTAAATATGGCATCTGGTCCTTATTTCAATATAGATTTTGTGTACAGCATTGTTTTCTGTTGATATAGCAAACACTTGTCAACATGTCAAGCAAACAAATATTTTAGAGTTTAAATCCATGAAGTAATTAATGAGTCATTATTTCCTGTTAACAGTTTCCATTCGGGTACGTTTTTCAGTCTGTATACATGTACGCTTTCTATGCGTCATATACGGTGTTACTTTGAGTCATTCACAAATGAATTCCTCCAACAGGAAGTATGGCGTTCCTGAATCTGAAAGGACCCGTGAAGATCCAGGTTATAAAATACGCCTTCAGCAACCCATTTGTCGCTTCTTACGGCAAGCATCGTCGCATTTACGGCAAGCATGGTCACGTTCAGTAGAGGAAGTAGTATAAAGTTGTATCGTGTGATGTCCGTTAGGACATTATCGGAGAATTTGTTAATCGCTTTTAGCAATATTCCAGCAATATCACGACTGAGGACACTACAAACGGGCGTTACACATCAGCCCACATTGGGATTCGAACCCCGGCCGGTGTGACGGGTGAATGCTTTAACCACGAGGCTACCCCACCGCCCTCTATGATGAAGGTGGAACAGGTACAGAAGCTCACCTTCATTGGATGTATTTCATCTTTAACGTGTGTTAAAGGAAGGGTTATGTCTTCAAGGATAATGAGTGAGTGAGTGAGTTGGGTTTAACGCCGTTTTTAAAAGTATTCCAGTCATATCACGGCGTGTCAGCTTAATGTGGGAGGAAAGCCAGAAGTGATGCAGGTCTCAGACGTTTACCACTTCGGTGAAACCCACGAGCACGGGTAGGGTGCTGACAAACCTAGAAACATAATCGGGGCGAACCGGGATTCGAACCCACAATCATAGGTTTCTGGCGTGCCTAAGGGACGCAACTCTGCAGAGCGAATCGCGGCGCCTTAGACGACTGGGCCATCCGTGCCCCCTCAAGGATAATGAAGGGTCACTGTCTCCTAAGCGCCGTATTTCACTGAGCAGATTGCTTCACTTGGGCGCTACCGTAAAGCGTAGGTGTGCCCTGGTTATGTTTCCTTAGTAAAAAACATATCTACCACATCACCGAAATAGCCGTTTTTATTATACTTGGTCTGTCAGAAGTCTACCCGTGCTTGTAGGTTTCACAAAACTGTTTTACGTCTAAGGTCTACTTCAGCCATGATATAACTGAAATACTTATCAGTGTGTGTAACAAAATCACTCACTCATGTACTCACACACACCCCCACCCACCCACCTCTCACTCACTCACTCACTCACTCACTCGGCAATATTCCGGCTACATGGCGGTGGCTTGTAACTAATCGAGTCTGGACTAGACAAACCAGTGGTCGATATTGTGAGCAACGACCCACGCCGTCGGGGTACGATGACACACCATCAACCAGGTCACCGATCCATTTGGTCCTCTCTTATGTTGGTTTGTTTGTTGGTTGTTTAAAGCCGCACTTAGCAGTATTCCAGCTTTATGACGGCGGTCTGTAAATAATCGAGTCTGGACCAGACAATCCGGTGATTAATATCAAGAGCATCGATCCACGCAATTGGGATCGATGACATGCATCAACCAAGTCAGCGACCATTCGATCATGTTAGTCGCCTTTTACGACAAGCATAGTTGCCTGTTACCATTATGCAAAGACAGCAACATTCATCCCAATGTATACACTGAATGTCTGTAAATAATCGAGTCTGGACCAGACAATCCGGTGATTAATATCATCAGCATCGATCCACGCAATTGGATCGATGACATGCATATCAACCAAGTCAGCGAGCCTGACCACTCGATCCCGTTAGACGCCTTTTACGATAAACATAGCCGCCTTTTACGGCAAGCATGGGTAGCTGAAGACCTATTCTAATCACCACTTCGTCTCTTTAGCCCGACATAGGTTGCTGGGGACCTACATTCTTTGCCTGAATCCCAACCGGTTTATAACGCGGCAAAGAAGTAAAGATAAGCTAAAAATGAAGTAAAAAACAGTATGTACATCTACCTACCTTCGAGACAACATAATTAGTACCCAGGCGCACAGCTTCGTTGGAATGAATTTCTCAGTAGTAAACCTGCCGACTACTAACGCAGTGGTGTCGGCGTTGCAAGGTTTGTTTACGTATGTTATAGGGCCTCAGGTCGTAATGCCTTTCACGCAGGCAATATTTAAAGTTTCTCAATGCTTGTTGTCGAGTACACAGCATGATAGGCATGTCTGTATTCTTAGTGACCTACTTGGTGAACAAGCTTGCACATATAGGACACGTCTGTCAAGGGGGGTACCGGGTGTATGCATGTTGTGGTATGTCTTGACGTTGGGCGAATGGACGTGGAGTTTTTAGAGTGAGTGGGTGAGTGAGTGAGTTGGGTTTAATGCCGCTTTTAACAGTATTCCAGTTATATCGCGGCGTGTCAGCTTAATGTGGGAGGAAAGCCCGAAGTGATGCAGGTCTCAGACGTTTACCACTTCGTGAAACCCACGAGCACGGGTATGGTGCTGACAAACCTAGAAACATAATCGGGGCGAACCGGGATTCGAACTCACAATCATAGGTTCCTGGCGTGCCCAAGGGACGCAACTCTGCACAGCGAATCGCGGCGCCTTAGACGACTGAACCACCCGTGCCCCCTGGAGTTTTTAGAGACAAAAGGTTGTTTGTATTTAAAGTGTTTGCTTGGTGTGTGAGACCCGGCTTCGATTCCCCATATGTTGACGATGGAACATATTCGTGGTGTCTTGCCGTGATATGGTTAGAGTGAGTTAGTATGGTTTTACGCCGCTTATATTCAGAGTAATATTCCAGCAATATCACGGCGGGGGACACCAGAAATGGGCTTCACACATTGTACCCATGTCGGGAATCGAACCCGGGTCTTCGGCGTGACGAGCGAACGCTTTAACCGCTAGAGTGAGTGAGTGAGTGAGTATGGTTTTACGCCGCTTTTAGCAATATTCCAGCAATATCACGGCGGGGGACACCTGAAATGGGCTTCACACAGTGTACCCATGTCGGGAATCGAACCCGGGAACGCTTTAACCACTAGGCTACCCGACCGCCCGCATATGGTTAGAACACTGCTAAACCATTATTCACCCATCTATGTAGAGTGCAATTCGTTGCAATCAATAATATGTACTTCATCTACTAGCAAGTGTTTCTACAACTGTTTGTTTGTTGTTAACGCCGCACCCAGTAATATCCCAGCTACGTGACGGCAGTCTGTAAATAATCGAGGCTGGACCAGATAATCCAGTGATTGACATCATGAGCATCCATCTACGACAAGCATGGGTTGCTGAAGACCAGTTCTAACCCGGAAACTTCACGGAACGTTTCTACAACTGACCTTACTTGCTTAAATTCGTATTTATTACAAGTGATTACACATAAGATGGTATTTAATTACTGACAGCGGCGGATTTTCTTCTCCTTATAACCCACCCACCCACCCACAACCACACCCGACATAAGCACACATACATCTATTTTCGGCACACGTGAGATAATATATTACTCAAACGTCTTGATATATGTGGGGGCACGGGTGGCCCAGTCGTCTAAGGTGCCGCGAATCGCTGTGCAGAGTTGCGTCCCTTGGGCACGCCAGAAACCTATGATTGTGGGTTCGAATCCCGGTTCGCCCCGATTATGTTTCTAGGTTTGTTAGCACCATACCCGTGCCCGTGAGTTTCACCGAAGTGGTAAACGTCTGAGGCCTGCATCACTTCGGGCTTTCCTCCCACATAAAGCTGACACGCCGCGATATAACTGGAATACTGTTAAAAGCGCGTTAAACCCAACTCACTCATTTTGATGTATGTCGTCCAACCAAATCTTTAAAAACGAATTATTTTCTTTGTTTTGTTTGTCGCTTGACGCCACACTCAGCAATATTCAAGCTCATAGCGAGTTGATGAACTGGGGTATGAAATAATAGTCAAACAAACTAACAACACAGTCTAAATATGGTATTTAAGCTTCCTAAATATAAACTGGTGTACGTTTCATAATTAATTATCATACAACAGTCTGCTCTCAGTAAGGTATAAAAATAAACAAACTGGTTGCATTGCAAACAGCTTCAAACTTCCTTGGTATACACAAAAATCTATATTTACAAACTGTTCTTGGTATGGTCTTGCTGGGGTAACCTAGAAGTTAAAACGTTCACTCGTCACGCCGAAGACCGGGTTCGATTCTCCACACGGTTACAATGTGTGAAGCACATTATTGGTGTATTGAAATGAAATATTGCTAAAAGCGGCGTAAAACAGTATCTCATTAAAATCAGATCTTAGTTCTCGCTATCACTAAACAAAGATTCTGAGGACATCCCATTACGGGTCACGTCAGAACGACCTTTCATTCAACCAATCAGAGCGTCCCTTACCAGATCATGAAAATGACAGTCGGAATGTGTTTTCTAATAATGCAACCTCAAAAACGTTAACACGGTGTATTCCGAACGACAGTTATGGCCCCTACTACTGATTCCGTCAAAATTAGCGTCTTTCTCTCGCTTCCGTGGGATAAACATTTGAACGGAAGAGGCGTTGGGAGCACTGCCATACAATCGCAACCATACATTAGACATTCCGGAATGTTCGTTTGTTCAGATTTCAAAAATTTAATAGAGAACTGTGTCATTATATTTTTCAAGCGTAGTCTGAAATGTAAGTCGCCAGGTTGAAACGAGTGTCGTAC